ACTGTGGACAAGGAGTCCCAAAGGGAAGGAAGAAGAAATTAACCTTCACAGGATAAATTCCAACATATTGACATCCCAGATTTTGTATTAATAGTAACTTTTAATAATAGAAATCTAGCTTGACTTCAGAAAAGTATATGTTGTTGTTAGGTGTCGTAGAGTAGGTACAAACTTTTAGCAACCCTACGCACAGCAGAACGAAGCACTATCTGGCCCTGTGCCATCTTCAAGCTTGTTGTTATATTTGAGCCCGTTGTTACTCCCACTTATTGGGGACAGTCCTCTTTTTCATTGGCTCTCTACTTTACCAAGAATGATGTCCTCCAGAGCCTGGTGGCTCCTGATAAGAAAATTAAATAAGGGAGAACAGCTCAGCTTTGCAATTCAGAAAAGAGCTCTTTCCATTTTTTTTTCAATGAAAATCTTACAAATATTATTTCTTCCAATAAACTGGAATTGAAACAATTCAGTGGAACTATCACATGGCTACTTCAATAGTAATAAGCTAAATCCTTTTCATAAGAAAAAAAACAACAACTGGGTATTACTCTCTTAGCATGTGGCTCACCCGTGACTTAAAAGTTCCATGAGAGGAGACCTCTTTATTGCCATGGTAATATGAAGTTCTGACTCTACCTAGAGATTTCACTGCTAGTCAGCTAAATTCCCAGGAAAAAAGAGAATCTGAGATTATATATTAAAAAAAGAAAGAAAAACTAACACCCTTTTTTCTGTGCCTGGTACATCCATCCTCCCTGTGAGGAATATAAGGAAATAGTGTTCTCACTGATAAATATAACATTGGAAAAGACAAAAAATATTTTTATGGCTGTTGAATAACAGTATTGAGCAATTCTTTTATGACTCTTGAATACCAGTCATAAACAAAATGAATTTGTCCTCTCCAATGTTATACTTATCAGTACTTATATCGCTATGTGTCAGAACTGACTTGACTCGACAGCACTTAACAACAACCACATATTACTCAGAGAGAGGATAGATGTGCCAGCTACCAAAAACAAGATGTTAGTTTTATGCTCTTCTTTGTTGTGTGGTGTTTTTCTTGAATAATAATGCTCTTCCAGTCATCTGTCAGCTTCTCATACTATGTTGTTGCTGTTGAGTCAGTGCTGACACATAGCAAGCCTGTATGGGGTTTCCAAGGAGCAGTTGGTAAGTTTCAGCCATCGACCTTGTGGTCCAGTGCATACCCTACAGTGCCCCACAAGTTAATGTGATACTGAAAGCAATGCCACCAGTATTCCAAATATCAAGAGGGTTACCAATGGTAGACAGGTTTCAGCGGAGCTATCACATGAAGACAGAGTAGGACAGAGAACCAAGCAATTGATTTCTAAACAATTGGCCAGTGAAAACTTCACAGAATAGCAGCAGAACATTGTCTGATATCATGAGCCAATCAGGTTGGAAGGCACAGTGGAAGAGCTGCCTCCTCAAAGTAAAGTTACAACTAATGGTGTGAATGAAGCAAAGCTTTCCAGGACCTTCATTTGCTGAAGGAAAAAATCTAAACAGCACTGAGGACATTGACGAAAAACAAGGATCCAAGAATTGACAGAATACCAACTAAGACGTTTCAACAAACAGCTACAGCACTTGAAGTGTTCACTCGTCTATGCCAAGAATCTGGGAAGACAGCTACCTGGCCAACTGACTGGAAATGATCCATATTTGTGCCCATTCTTTCTCTAGATCCAACAGAATGCAGAAACTATTGAACAATATCATTAATATCATACTCAGGTAAAATTTTTATGAAAATAATTTTGCAGCAGTGTATTGACAGGGAGCTGCCAAAAAATCAATCCAGATTCACAACAGGATGTGCTTACCTGTGTTTTATTGGCCAAGCAAAGACATTCAACTGTGTGGATCTTAACAAATGAAGGATAATTTCTAGAAGAATGGAAATTCCAGAACATTTCACAATGCTCATAGGGAACCTGAGCATAGAACAAGAGGCAGCATTCAAACAGAACAAGCTCATACTGAGCGGTGTAATTCAGGAAGGGCGTGTGTCAGGGTTGCTAGCAAATCTGCTATAAAAGACAAAATGTTAAAAAGCAAAATTATCACCTTAAGAACTAAGGTGTGTTAACCAAAGCCAGAAGGAGCTCTGGTAGTGGTTTACAAATTGGGTTGCTAATCTCATGGTCAGCAGTTCAAAAATACCAGTTGTTCTGTGGGAGAAAGCTGAGGCTGTCTGCTCCAGTAAAGATTTGTAGCCTCAGAAACCCTATGCAGGGTCACTATGGGTTGGAATCAACTCCCCAGCACACCACCAACAATAACAACCCAAGCCAGGCTACTTTCAGTAGTCTGATATGCATGTGAAAACTGGACAGTGAATAAGGAAGACTGAAGAATTGATGTCTTTGAATTATGGTATTGGGAAGAATATTAAATATACCAGGGACTGACAGAAAAATGAACAAATCTGTTTTTGGAAATACAACCAGAATATTTCTTAGAACAGAGGATGGTAAGACTTCATCTGATGTATTTTGCACATGTTATCAGAAGGGAACAGTCTCTTGAGAAGGATAGCATGGTAGGAAAAGTAGAAGGTCAGTGTAAAAGAGGAAGAACTTCAACAAGATTGATTGACAAAGTGGCTTTAATAATGGACTCAAACATAGCAATGACAATGAGAATGGTGCAGGGCTGGGCAGTGTTCTGTTTTGTTGTACAGAGGGGTCATTATGAATCAGAGGAGAGTCTACTAGATGGGACTTACCAACCACAAGTAGCAGCATTATTCATTTAAGTGTGAATGCACCTTGTTTTATCTTGAGATGGGAAGAGAGTAGGATATGGAATTATTTATACAATAAAGATAAATTCTCCTATAATTCTAAGTGGCCCCAAGAGCCTAAATTTTCACTTATGTTACCAGTTCCATAGGATAGAACATGTGACCCACTGCAAGAAATTATTAATCAAACTTTATCAGCTATTTTTCTTTTCAAGTAAGGGTCTGATAGCTTGTTGTTGCTGTTGCTGTGTGCCATTGAGTTGGTTCCAACTCATAACGACCCTGTATAGGATTTCCATATAGCAACCCTGTACAGGGTTTCCGAGGGTGTAAATCTTTACAGGAGCAGAAAGTCTCATCTTTCTCCTGCGGAGCGGCTCCCTACCTCCCTCTTTATGGAGAGTATTAGAAACTCCATGAGAGAGATACAAAAAAAAAAAGTGAATAAATTAAACACATCCATTTGTCTCAAATTATAAAGTCCGATTCTATTCCAGGAGGCATCATGCCTTTCCGCAATCCCAGAAATAAGTACAGGGAGATTGTAAACATTTATCTATTTTCACCTGTGCCTGAAGAGGAGCTTTTTCCTAATTTCTGTGGCAAAGAGGAAGGCTCTCCCTTTCAACCTTATAACCAGGACTTTTGTGACTTTTTTGAAACAATATTAGCACTGCCTCAAAATAACCTAGATACCCCTCCAAAAGCAAGAGGATATCTGAGTCCTACAGGTTTCTTCAACATTTAAAGACCTTGGACAAACTTTTGTTTGGACATTATGATACCATGTTATTATTTTTTATTAAAATTATCATCATTTAATAATTCAGTCAATCCATCCTTCCTGACCCCCACTCTACAAGATGGAAGTGTTCTTGGTTTGCTTGAAGCTACCCAGCTGGAGTTCAGGGTAGAGAATATAAGAGGAAAGGTTAGTCAGGGGATCAGGGCAGAACTTTAGTTTGTATTTGTTAACACCCAATTTCTTTAACCACTCAGGTAATTATGGTTTTCCTGGAGTTGCCAGTGTCCCATCTCCATCCAGTATCTTGTACAAAGCATTAATTCTATGAATGTGCAATTATCCTGTGATACTCCTGAAGGAATGGAAGGAGGGTGTGGGCATATGCAATAAAGCCTCTATCTATCCTGGTGATGTTACCTGTTATGAATTCAAAATTATCTTCTCCTATGTAAGCTCTTAATTTAAGGTCATTTTCTGTTAATCTATTTTCATTTCCCTGTTGGGTTTCTGATGAATCCTGGCTCCTTTTGCTTTAAAAGTAGATATCACATGTCCTAATTCAACTCTGTTTTTTCTTAGAAAAATTTATATTATTTGCTTTATAAAAGTTGAGTTAAAATCCATGGACTCTGGGGTCCGCATGCTGGGTTCAGATTCTGACCACCATTTACCAGCTGTACAGTCCTGCAAAGTTACTAAACCTGTGAGTGTTTCAGGTCTCCCAGTCATAAAACCAAGATAATGGCCATGCTTACAGAGGTCAAGTGAGAATTGAGAGAACTCAACAAATATTATTCATCTTCTCCCACAATACTAACTAGTCAACTACTACCCATTTTATATGCCTATAAAACACAAAATCAGTACCTTTTTACTGAATAAGATTTTAAAAATTTTACTCCAGTAACTTGATTCTATCAAAATTTCCTTAATTTATCAATTTCCTTAAAATTTTTTTCATTTAGGTCTCCAAGCCACCTTACCAATTTGGTGTCATTCACATTTACATGTAATAACCTTATATTGTCTTCCATTACTTATACCACTGGTATATAATCTAAATAATAATCCTTTCTATAATATTAAGGAACACTAACAGTACTGTTTCTATTTATTTTGTCACTAATTTTTTTATTAAATTTTATATTCCCATCGATAGAAAATATTATATATTTTTTTAATTAGGAAATTAACCAAAATTAATATAAAAAAAAACTTCCCAAGTGGAAAATGTGTGATGCATTTTATAAAAAGATCTACTATGCTTCTTAATCACTCAGATAATTTCATACAATGAAATGATTATGCAAACTCGTGTTAAATATTTCCTCAGATATGTCACTTTGACCCTTATATGGTCAGTGTCCCATAATCAGTTGATAATGTTTACAAGTATATATATACCAGAAGCTAGAAGGAGAAAGATAGGCTTCTTGAACCAAGCAGCATACAGCTCAGAACAACTAGGGAATAGCAATGGGGTTATTCAGAGCTTCTATTTACCTCTTAGTCCTATACCTGCTGCAGGGATCAAATCCTTCTCTGGTTCAGTTGAATGAAAATGGTTATGAAGACGTTATCATTGCCATCAACCCTCTGGTGCCAGAAGATACAAACATAATTGAACAAATAAAGGTAAGGAAGAAATGGGATTATAATACTGCTTTTCTTAAATTGTAGGGAAGACAACAAATAATAATTACTGTGGGCTCTTCAGAATGTTTCAGGAAGTCAAAAGCAATGAACATAAAGCTGGATGAGCAGTGAGAAATGGATAGAGATTTTAGATAGACCTCTACTACCCAGTCTCACCACAAGATCAAAAGCAAGACACCAGGTCTCCCTGATTCTTTGTGTCTTCTTCTTTAAATGAGCCATGGGATTCATTCATTCTTTAAGCAATTTTTTATGGAATGCTTACTGCATGCAATGGGAGAGAGCAATGAAGTAAAAACAAAACAAAAAAATCATTGGTCTTATGGAATGTGTATTCTACTCCAGGATACAGATAATAAAGAAATGTAAGTAAGAAAGTCACATGGTGATATGTTGATATGGGCTAAAATAAACCAGGAAAGAGGGACTTGGGTAGGCTTGGGAAGAGGGAGAATGTGGGTTTCTGTTATATGGAGTGTAGTTAGGGAAGGCCTCACTGATGATGTGACAACTGAGCAAAGACCTTAGATGGATGTGAGATTGGAAATCTGAGGGATGGGAATAGCTGGTGCAGAGGCAAGGAAGTAAGAGCATAGATGATGTGCCCAAGTAACAACTGTGAATGAAGAAGAGGAAGGGCAGTGCCAGCTGAAATTGGAGTGGTAGAGAAGCCCAGGCTATTATAAAGACTATGGCCATTTACTCAGAATGAAATGAGAATACACTGAGAATTCTGAGTAGATGAGGAAAATGCTCTCAAGTACAGTTTAGAATCACTCTGACTGCAGTGTTAAGGAAACTCAGTAAAGGCCAAGGGCATGATGATCCCTACTAACTCTTGATATTCTCAATCCTTAAACTTTCTCCAATACATTTTTCCCTTTTCCCAGTTGATGATGATTCCATCCTTCAAAATGTTCAGAGAAAATCCTTTGAAGTCTTCCTTGACTCTTACGTGTTTGTTTCCTTCCCGGCACATCCACACCTATTAGATATGTGAAGAAGTTCCTGGGTAACACAAACCGTTAAGAATTTGACTACTAATTGAAAAGTTGTTGGTTCAAACCCACCCAGAGGTGCTTTGGAAGAAAAGCCTGACAATCTACTTCCAAAAAACTGTTGTTGTTGTTATGTGCCGTGGAGTCGGTTCCGACTCATAGTGACCCTGTGCAGGGTTTCCGAGGCTGTAAATCTTTACGGGAGCAGAAAGCCTCATCTTTCTCCCGCGGAACAGCTGGTAGTTTCCAACTGCTGATCCTGAGGCTCGCACCCTGATTCGTAACCACTACGCTACCAAAAACTACAGCCATGAAAACCCTACTTAGTGCAGTTCCACTCTGAGTCGCTGAGGGAGGGGGAGGGTCACCGTGAGTTGGAATCAACTCAACAGCAATAGGCAATTTAAAAGAAGAAGAAACCCACTGCCATTGAATCGATCCTGACTCAAAACTACCTTATAGGGTTTCTGAGACTGTTAATCTTTAGAGAAGCAGATAGCCTCATCTTTCTCCCATAGAGTATCTGATGCGTTTAAGCCACTGACCTTGAGGTCAGCAGTCCAAGGCCTAACAAATAGTACTCTTGATGTATATAGTTAACACACTTAGCTTCTAGTCAAAAAGCTGGATGTTTAGGTCTACTCAGAGGTGGTTCGAAGAAAGGCCTGGTAATCTACTTCTGAGAAATCAACTATTGAAAGGCCTATGGAACCTAAGTCTGCTGTGACATACATGGGGAGCCATGGGTTGGAACTTACTCAATGGCAACTGATTCTTAGTTACATAACTAGATGGAGATGTAAATCTGAACTTCACTGGGGAAATCTGGGTGGAAATTAAAATTTAGGAATCATCATTATATGTTAAGAAGCTCTGGTAGCATAGTGGTTACAATCAGGCTGTTAACCTCAAGGTCAGCAGTTTGAAACTACCAGTTGTTCTGTGGGAGAAAGATGAGGCTTTCTGCTCCCATAAAGATTTACAGCCTCAGAAACCCTGTGCAGGGTCACTATGAGTCAGAACCGACTCCATGGCACACAACCACCACCACCAGTGTCCAAAAACAGCTGGTTCCATTTCAACCTTTACTGAGCCTCAGAAATAAGTTATATGGAAAAATTATTTGTAGAGGCAAAGATTTTTTTTTAATTGAACTTCTATTGTACAGTAGAAACAGAAATTCAATTGTTAATGATTTGCCTAGATTGAACTATAATTGCTGACATTCTCCAAGCCCTCTGCAAAGCCCTTGCTTTGATATCCTGTAGTTATATCCCCACAGCAAAATTGTCATCCTCATCTCACAGAACAGAAAATTGCAGTTTGGAAAAGCTAAATGACTTATCCAATGTACATTAAATGGCAGAATTAAGTTACAGAGATTATATAATGGTAAAGGGCATGAGTTTTGAAGTTCTACAGACTTAGGTTTGAGTTCTGGGCAGGGTCTGAATGTTTTTTTTGTTGTTGTTGTTAAGTGCCACTGAGTCAGTTTTGACTCATAGCAACCCTATATAAGGTTTCTGAGGAGTGGCTGGTGGATTTGAACTGCTGACTGTGTGGTTAGCCATCCAGTGTTTATCCTACAGCACCATAGATGGCAAAAATCACTCTTTGGTATAAGAATGGAGAACTTATTTGTGATCTTAACACAGACAGGATAATATTTATGCTGCATTGTTCATAATTCATACTTCATGACCTGAGACATTTTCAATTATCCTAATGTCTTATTCATATTTCTTCTTGGTTTGAAGTACTTATTTTATGAACATTGGTATCTTAATCTTCTTTGATCCTACTGGAATAAAAGAATTCAGACAGTGAATTTAGAATGAATTTTATAGGAATTCTTCTTGTATAGCCCGTAAGAACAATGAAAAGCCACTTTAGTATACCTCCAAGGTATGACAATCATCTGGTGAGGTCTCTGCAATCCATTCACAACCTAAGAACATACCATTCCCCAAAGCAGTCCCATGGCTATGCATCATAGTAGAGGAGGGTTTCACAGAAGAAAACACCACTATCTACTAGGATATACTGCCAGCAAGATGAAGACATTGACATTAATCCAATGTCCAGAATTCCCCAGTTATTTAGAGGGTTTCATCAGGTGAAAAAGGTCATCACAAATGTCTTTCACCCATCTATTTCCTCTCCTAGGTGCTAAATTCTAGAGAAGCATTCTGCATCTTATTTATCATTGTATTCTTGGACTTAAGAATACTAGAAAACATAAGGTGATAATATTTTCAGCTTGTTAGCAGAACAACAAGCTCTGTCATTCCTATGAATTATTTTATCAACCACTGCCCCCTAACAGGGATCCCAACCCACCTGCCTTTCCTGGTTATCAATTTTGTAATTCTGATATGCTTTCCTACAAACTGTCCTCCTCAGTTTGAATCAACTAAGACTGTTCTTTACTTATAAAGTTTTTTATAAACAGTAATGATACCAACCAGTTTCACTGACTGCCTAAGTGTAGAACACTTTACAACTAATTCTATCTTTATGCCAACAGTAAGTATAGGTAGCAATGGTCCGTTAATGGGAAAAGGAAACTGAAGTTCAGAGCAGATACTTAAAAGGGTTATGATCAAAGAGTTAGAAAATTCTAAAGTCAGCTTTGGAAGGAAGACTGCAGGATGCCAGCATCCATGCTTAACTGCTGTGAACAACAAGCTAAACTTTGCCTTTTGATGTAGGATTATAGAAAACTGAAAAAAAAAAAAAATTAATGTACATGATGAAGCTATTATTTGGGACTGACAGGTAGCAGAGTTGACACTGTGAGGCAGAGACCACACTCATTGGTTAGTTGCTTTTTCTGTTCACTCTTAAAATGGGAAATGTCTGTGGTCCGTGTGTGCTCATTGAGACCACGCTCGGTTCTCCTCACATATTTCTTTCCTTTAATAATAATAGGACATGGTGACTTCAGCTTCTACTTACCTGTTTGAAGCCACGGAAAAAAGATTTTTTTTCAAAAATGTATCTATATTAATTCCTGAGAATTGGAAGGAAAACCCTCAATACAAGAGGCCAAAACGTGAGAACTACAAACATGTAAGTTTCAAAATCTCTTTAAAAATTATATTTTCTAGTACTCTCCAATTTTGCTCCCAATTTATTATTTCAAATGTTTTTAGACTAAAAGCTGTCATTTCTTTCTCTGATGTTTTAACAGTCTTTGATCTTTCTCAGGCTGATGTTTTAGTGGCACCACCAGCCCTCCCAGGTACAGATGAACCGTACACCAGGCACTTTGCAGCCTGTGAAGAAAAGGGAAAATTCATCCACTTTACACCTGACTTTGTACTGGGGAAAAAACAGAATGAATATGGAGCAGCAGGTAGGAATTTTGGTTAAAAACACACATTTAGTAATGTTTTCAAGAAATAGCTTTATACCTAGGTGAGTATGCAAGTCTTGGAGCCAGACTTCTTGTTATTGTTGGTAAATGCTGTCGAATCAGTTCCAATTCATAGCGACTGTGTATAGGTTTCTAAGGACTGGCTACTAAGGTTCACATCCTGACTCCCCTAGGTAGGTATTAGCTGTGTGTGACATTAAACAAATGGCTCAGCCTCTGTGATCATGTGTAATTGGTGAATATAGGAATCTTTACTTTGTAGAATTAATTGTTATGAGCAATAAATAAGCATTCAGGAGCTCTGAATACATAGGAGCTCTGGTGCTTAGTGGTTATGCGTCCCTCCAATCTCTGCTTCTTCCCTCCATGTCTGTCCTAACTCCTTCTTTTAATGAGGATTTAACTCCATTTTTCCACAGATTTTTTCAAGTCTCCTCAAATTTGGCATATGACAATATTTCTCAGCATTTTTATTATTATTATTACCCCCTTATGCAGCCTTTTAAAAGACATTTGAATATCATATACTGTTTATTTGTTGTTTGTTTATTTGTTGGATATTGAGGTTAAGAGAGATACAAACCATTATGATAGTTATGGCCTTTATTCCTCCAAAGAACAAATTTTCCCCCAACAAAAGCACTATCATTCCCTTTGAGAATTATTTTTAGATGAGAAACTGAGGCATAAACAGGTTAAATAATTTGTTCAAGTAAACATAAATAAAAGGAACAGAACACTTAAAGTTGAATGAATAAATGGATATGTAGATGGAAGGATAAAAGATTCAAAGAAGAATATTACATTTTCTTTCGGAAGGAGACTTGCAATTTGATTATGTTGTGACTCTGTGGGTTAGACATTGGGATTTTAACCATAAGGTCAGTTGTTCAAATCCACCAGTCTCTCCTTTGGGGAAAGATGAAACTATTAGTTCCTATAAAGATTACAGTCTCAGAAATCCTATAGAGGGTTTCTGTGACTCAGAATTGATTCAATCTAGTGGTTATGAATTGGGCTGCGGACCGCAAGGTCAGTAGTTCGAAACTACAAGCTGCTCCGTGGGAGAAAGATGAGGCTTTCTACTCCCATAAAGATTTACAACCTCAGAAACCCTGTACAGGGTCCCTATGAATTGGAACCAACTCCACGGCACATAACCACCACCACCACCAATCTGTCCATTATATGTCCGGCAAGTACACTATAAATATTTGATTTAACATGTTGTGAAATAAAAAGCAATATATTGTATGATGTAATATGTTTTTATAAAAAATAAATGTTAGCAATTAGAATTCAAATATTTAGATAAAAAACTTTCTTCAGATATTTAAGAGATAAATATTTTCATCTGAATTATGAACATGCGTTTGAAATCTCTTCCCAAAGGTCGAGTACTTGTCCATGAGTGGGCCCATCTCCGGTGGGGAGTATTTGATGAGTACAATGAAGATGAACCTTTCTACAGTTCCAAGTCAAAAAAAATTGAAGCAACAAGGTATGACCATTTAAATATTCATAAATGACATCAGGGTATAGCTGATCTTATTTTCCTAAATTTGATATTTTTCAATCATTTCTTTTTGTTTTGATGCAGATGCTGTCTTAAGAAAGAGAGTACTTCTTTTGTTTTACAAAATTTTTCTTAAAGTAGCTGGTTGCCTATTTAAAATACACATAATTTCAAGAGCATCTGGTAGCCAATTGGACATATTTTACACCTCTTTCCTATTGCTGTTAATACTCATTTGTAATGAATATGTGTGAAGAGTTATACTATATGCTCAGAAAAGATAAAAATTACTGAAATTGTACAAGAATGAATAAAAGGGGTTAAGAATCAGGACTAAATGTGGGCTGAGTAGGATCTTCATTTTCAAAATGTATTAAAAGACTAACTATCAAATATTTTCAGGTGTTCAACTGGTATCTCTGGCATGAATAAAGTTTATCACTGTCAAGGAGGCAGCTGTATATATAAAAACTGCCGAATTGATCCTCAGACAAAGCTGTATGAAAAAGATTGTCAATTCTTCCCAAATAAAGTTCAGAAAGAAAAGGCATCCATAATGTATATGCAAAGCATTAGTTCTGTAAGTATGTGCTCAGTAGCTCTAGATCTTATAAGAACATATTATCATATTGTAAATTACTGGTCCAAGTAACCTTAGGAAATTGTTGTTGTTGTTGTTGAGTGCTGTAGAGTCAGTTCTGGTAGCGACCTTGTATAGAGTTTCTGAGGAGTGGTTGGTGAGTTTGAACTGTCTTCCTTGCAATTCAAACTGACCTTGAAGTCCAGTGCTTTTCTTATAGAGTCACACCAGGACTCCAAACCTAAAGGAATAGATGTTTTAATACAGGATTATTTGGACATTGGCTGGCACATAGTTTTGTTGCTGTTAGGTGCCATCAAGTCGGTACCGACTCATAGCAACACTATGCACAACACAACAAAACACCGCCTGGTCCTGGGCCAACCTCACAATTGTTGCCAC